TTAACAAATAAAAAAATAACAATGTTACTTTATTCTGTTTCTGAAATAATTATTTGTGATCATTACTGTTTTTCATTAACAAAATTTGAATACCACAAGTGAAATAAAATATTAAGAATGATATTCATTTTCACGGTTAAGTATTCAAAGACATTTAAAAATATGAATATAATATAATTAAATACCTAATTTGAATAGTTATAAGTTTCTAAGTAGTTACTTTTGTAAATGACTGTACTGTAACTATATTGAACTTATGGGATTTTCACTTATAATTTAAGTTCAAGTTAACCCGACGCTTCGAACGAACTTTCAAGCTTCTCAGTTCGAAAAACTTTTTAATGGAATGCCAAAGTCAACAAACATCTCATGCCAAATCAATATGATTTCCATTACCAGTATGTTTTTCTTACCAAGGAAACCATATTTATGTAGCATATTAAACCGATCCGTCATATTCACTGTCTAATTTGAATAGAATCAAAGACGATAAAATATAACACCGATAGAAGCTCAAAAACCCGAATTGAAGGAGAAAATGATACGTGGATATGATTTTTATTATAATTATGTCTTACCTACATACTTTATTCATGTAAAAGATCTTTTGTATGTAACTTCTTCGTAAATTGGTGTTTCCTTAAAAACGTAAACAACATTTTCCTTAAATACTCCATACAAAACGGTCATTTCATAGGCAAACTAAATATTTTATTTTTTCTTTACAATCTCTACCTATCCCTACTAATATTATAAATGCGAAATATGTCTGTGTCACATTCACGCCTAAACCACTGAACAGATTTTGATGAAACTTGGCATAGAGATAGTTTGAGTCCCGGGAAAGGACATGGGATAGTTTTTATCCCGGTTTTTGAAACAGGGACGCGGGCGATAAAGGTTTTCTGTGACAGACAAAACTTAACGCGGGTAAAGAACAATATTCCAAAGCAAACAATTCAGTTCCACTCCGCGTTTGGTTAGCATATGCAAATGCAGTAGATGCTATCAGGCCCTATCGCGTTGATTCATGCCCTGTGACCCTGGCCCTGGTCACTCGTGGGTTAAGGTTCTACAGCTGTGCGGGGACTTGAAGAAGTTAGCAGTACGCTTTTAGAAAATATCGAGTTCTAATATTTAATCTTTACGTTGACTTTAATTAATAATTACTTCACTTTAAACTTGTGAATAGATCATTCTGTAAAAAAGTAACTTAAAATAAATTATTGTGTTGGCATTGTGTATTTTACGTCTGCTCATAGTGAAGAGCTACCTACTTCATTTAGTATTACACACACACACAAACATTGTGCGCCTGATTTTGATAAAAGTTTTGCGTTGTGAACTTTCTACAAGTGCAAAATACATTTAAACTTACTTTTATTCATACTTTGAAGGCCTCTTCCATTAAAATGAAATAATGAGTAAAAATTAAATCCATTAATTTTTTTCAATGTTGAAGTTACATCGATAAGTGAATTAAAACATGTCTAGAATATCATAAAATCGTGAAAGTGAAAACTTCGATCAATTTTAGGTTTCTCTATAATGACCTTGTATGTAAATTGCGGTCTGCCATTTCACACTACAAAGGTCATGTAAACTTTACTATTGAAGTCTAGGTCATGACTGTATTGTATAATGTATAAGTTATCCGAGAAAAGGTCGTATAACATGAATGTAATCTCGTATGAATGGCAAATTCACGCGTGTTAGTATATCAAGAGAGACTTAAATGTCTGGAAGAGGATTAATAAGGCTTAAAACTCTAATAGACTTTGGGGTCGTTATTTATTACGCAATAGGTAAGTAATTAATGTCTGTACTGTTAGTAACTGTCTAGACACGATTGCTTTGGTTCTCCGTTAAGTTTAGTCAAATCGGCTTTAGCAAACTTAAAAGTAACAAAAATATAGAGTACCTACAGTCAAGTGAAAAGTAGATTCAGGACTCAAAGGAAGTACGAGTAGTTTAGAGAAGTTGTATTTCACATTGTGTATTACAATGTATTTACTTCTGCAAAAGCAAATGCAATCATTGTATTTTGGATGGCTGAAAAATTTAAATAATAAAAAAACAATATTAATAATAACTCACCAACTGTGCGTGCTTTAAATTAACTTGATCCGATTCTAGGGAATCCCGATTGACTTTAAAATTGAACATCATATTTTTTTCTAAACAAAATAACATATACACTTCAAACATCATAAACAGAATCGAGACGTAAAATTAGTTGCGGGAATACTCTCGAAGAAAAACAAAAGACAATCGTTAACGTCGCGAAAAAAGTAATTTGACAGCCAGTGCGCGACGTCAGATGAGGTTGCAATAGTTTTTAATAATAGGCAATTTTTAAATTTATTTTTTGATTTTTTTCTTTCTTTATGGCCAGTGGTGGGTGTGGGTCATCCAGCTTAAATAGTGAGGTGACGGCCCTATCGGGCTCTGGGATCAAAAACTACATGTGAAAGTGGATTGCTCTCACGGGTTTAATTCAAATAAGTCTCAAATTTTTCGATTTGAATTTTATTTATTTACATATAAAATGTAGAGTAGTAACTAGATTTTAGATTTACTATTTGTGACTCAAAATTAATGTGAGCAAAACGACTAAATATCTATCTAAAGCTAGCCAGGAACTGATAAGCAGCCATTTTAAAAAGTTGAATGCTATCTCCCAGCTCGCGTGTCAAGGTCCACCTTATCGGCGAAGGTCGGGGTAGCAGTTTAGATTAGCCCAGCCTAGGTAGCTGCTATCGATGGAGATAGGGTCTGCAGTGGCGGCCAAATTAAAGGGTCGCACGAACTACTCGTATTCAAATTCAGAACTGCGATTAGAGTTGTGATCTGATTAGCAATTGATGCAGATTAGTAAATGTCTGAGGCTTTTTGGTTTTGTACTTTTAGCTGTTTCGTTTAAATAGGCACAGCAAGCTTATATCAGTTTTATAGTAAGAACCCACAAATGGGATGCTTTAAAAATTCACCACTCGGGCTCAATACCTACGAATAATAGTAAAAGATGTGTGTCAAATCATTACGCTCAAAATGTAACTCGTGAATGCCTTTACAGATTTTCAGAAAGAATAAAACGGTTTATTTACAAAGGTCTACGACTCTATTGTTCTTCTTTTCCCATCGGGTCCAAATTTTAAAATTTTCATAGAATATACTTTTATATTTTCGATGTCCTTTGGGAATAAGCCGAAAAAACAACCTCAAACTTAACATTATTAAGCAAACGATACAAAGAAAATTCAATCGCCTTTGAAAGGAAAATGTTTTTCCCGATCACGTCAAGTTCACTGAACCAAACTGGAAGTTTAAGGTATTTTTGCCTTAAAGCTTGAGTGTAATAATAAGGTTCAAGGCTGGCTTCACCCTACATTAATCACAGCCATCAATCGCGCCGATCTCGTTTCCATCCGCAAATCACTTCCACCCAATTTGATCCGGCACATTATAAACTGACGATTAAGTACTTAACTTTATACAAAGGATCTAATTAATGACGGTATTAATCAAACTTGTGACAGGTACTTGATTGTAGTTTTGGTAACTGTGTTCTCTTTGTGAATGACTGAAGTAAACCATAATTACTTTACTTAGTTTATGTACCCTTGATGTATTACTATTAGCTAGGGACGAAGTCGCTGCCTGCTGCTATCTTTCCCACTATAATCCTAGCCTGTTCAAGACGAGATTGAATAGGCACTTACAAAACAGGTCTGTATCTCACTTAACATCAGTTGTGTCAGGTGTGATTGTGGTAAATGCTTGCCTTGTGCCTTTAAAAAATAACAAGAAAGTTATGATGTCTTCTTCGCTATTTATTCACTATTGCATGCCGTGGCAACCTATAATTAAGGCAGCACTTAGATTAAGTTAAATACGTTGTAAATATTGATTGTCTTCCAGTGTATGTCTTGTTGGTTGTCCTATTAAATAAATAAATAAATAAAACTTCAATTAAATTTAGTCTTATAAAATTTTATATTTCTTCTGTGTCTGAAGGTCAAATTAGTGTTTCTAAGTAAGGCTTTAATAAAAAGCGATAACGCGGACTAAAGGCTAGTTAAGTATGCTAGAGTTTAAATTGAATCACTTTTGAGAATCGTTTAAGATACACTCAAAAATATATTAAAAGCCTGTGATTGGCTCAGATATTGAAATTTACCTAATCATCTGTAACTATGCTAGTGTTTAAACTAAAGTTAAGTTTTGAGCGAGATTTCGGAAAAAGAGTTTAATATGTCTTTAATTTCTACTTCTTCTTCTTCTTATTCGTTTTTCTCTTGGCAGAGCGGTCGTGGTCACGTTGAGGCATTGTTTACATCGGTTGTAAAGGCGGTTACAACTCTCCGTACGAATTTCTACTTACTATTTCAGGATTCAAGCACATGAACGATAGTTTATGTGTAGTGTATACTTAGTGGTGTGTTAAGAACGTGTTCTGCTAAAAGCTTAATGTGTATTAATTTGGTTTGTTGACCATAAGTTAAGAGAGCGCTCTACTCTCTGGGAATGTTTTATTTTACCCTTGCCAGTCTCCGAACGAAAATTACTTTTGACCCAACTCACGCGTGTGTCAATCTAATAAATTATTTAACAAAACTCAATGGGAGACCGCACTTAATAATTAAGTTACAATTTTTTTTTATCCACTACGAGGAAACTCTTGGCCTGTATCTCACCTGATGGTAAGTGATGATCAGGCCGAAAGTGGAAGGAGCTTCACCCGGAACACTCAACCACTGAGGAACTGGCTATCTTACCTCTAACTGCCGGAACACAAAAATGCTGTTAAAATTGTTATTATGGCGACAGACTTAGATAAGATGGTGGTAGCTAGCCAGGCGGACTTAGAACAAGCCCTACCACCAACCAAGCCGAACAGAAAAATCTGCCTCCACTGGGAATCGAACCTGGGACCTCTGCATCTGAAGCAGGTGGTCTTACCACTAGACCAAAGAGGCGATTGAATATAAAATACATACCATATTAAGAAGAACAATGTAGTCGGCCAGGTGCAGGGGATCATTTTCGTGGGGGGTGGAAGGGGAGGGCGCAGCGTTGGGGCTCATCCCAATGCCCCCAGGTTACCTGAAAAATGAACATACCAATATAAATTGATATCTATTCAGAGGTAGGAATACCTACCAGAAGGCAAGGACAATATTCGAATGCGTATATGAAAAAATCAAGATTGGTTGGATAACACGAATAAAAGCACTAAGTAGATGAGTAACTGAAAATCATCCATAACACAACTTAGGCTGGGTTGCACCATCTTACTTTAACTTTAACAAACGTCAAAAATGTGTCAAACTTTATACAAAAAACACCGGTTATTGTTAAAGTTAGGTGATGCAACTCAGCCTAAATGTACCATTACAAAATAATCATTAGTAATAAAGCCCAATATTTCGACCCTGATTGTTTTAGATCCATAATTTGTGACCGGCGCGGCCGATAGTGATCAAAATACCACCTTTAGTGTATCCAGGGCTAATACAGCTGTATTTCGGCGAAGAATAACGTGCTAATGACAACTTTAACGATAACTGAATAAGTAACGAGCATTTGTTTTACAATAAATCATTTATAAACGCCTTCTTCGAAAGCTAATGGATTCGCAAATGTTGATTTACGTTAGACTGCTTAATTTTCACGATTAAAGCAATGCTTAAATATATTTGTCATGTTTAAATTTACCAGATCATAAACACGCAATCTTTTTATACAGCGGGTGGTTAAAACCCGATCTAAATATATCTCTAACAAGAAACAAAAGATTTCTATTTTAGAAGAAACAAAAGACTTCTTTCATTAGTTAGGTTTCATTTTTAGCCAAGCTCTGCTGCTAACCAGTGAAAGTTGTCCCAGGAGAAAGCTATCATGTAGCCCGTAATGAATTTGCTTAAGAACCATTATAAGCTCTCTCCACTGTAAAGAAAGTAAAATGTATTAAATCTTAGAATAATATACGAGTACCTATTCACCACAAGTAGATATAAATTAAAGGGACACGTGTTTGTAATATTTCCAGTAAGCTCGAAAGTTTTTGTTCATCGCCCAAATATCGGTTAATTAATAGATAGCGGATTATGATACTGAACATAATTACATTAATTTGACTGATTATTCTGGAACGAGAACCATTCCGACGGACTTACAAATTATAATACCATGATAATAATTAAATCTGTATTCAGTTTGGTAAAGAGTTTTCAATATTTTGTCACAGATGGATGCATCTCGCTCGCAACTGAATGGATCCAGATGTAATTATTTCAATTATTGGCCACAAAAGCTTTATACAATTTGCTGTAATTATTTAGCAGTACGCCAACGCTCTTTTCGCAATTATTTGCTTCAAGTTAAATGTATAAATAAATTTTCACGAAAGCCTTTTGGTACTTCTAAAAACTATAGATAACCAGAATACCCAATTTAATATTTCTCCCTAATGATAGGGTTGGAGCGTGTAAAAGTGCTCTTAAAAGCATACTTCCAGAAAATAAATTAATTTTATTAGACTTTTATACTTAGTAAGCTTTAAAATTTTTTACTAATACAAATAGCCCGGCGACGTCTGCCTCAATAAGAAATGTATACGGCATGCACTTGCCATGGATACTTGAAGTATACACGGCCTATTGGTAATAATTTAGTGTTAAGGAGAATCGATGGCGATCGATGGGAAAACAACGACCTACTGACCAGAGGCTATTCGTGCTGTTTGTATGAATTTTATAGTCTGTGCTAGCTGTGTCTACTTGTATAAGACAGCAGTTGGCTGTAATTGCCTTAATGATTCGTTGACTGGCATGGATTTCTTCAATATTCAAGCTAAGACTATTTTTAAGAGCGACTTCTGTCGATGTTCGGTCGTTCATTTGCCATAGCCAAATGACGTCCACTAATGGACAAAGGCCTTCCCCAAGGATTTCCACAACGATTGGTCCTGTACTACTCGCATCCAGGTCTTCCGGCAACCTTCACCAGATCGTAGGTCTACCTAGCGGGAAGGAAGCCTGCCCACACTTCGTCTTCTAGTCCGTGGGCCAAACTCGAGAACTTTTCTGCCCCTACGGCCATCTTATCTACGAGCTATGTGCCACTTAGGTAAGTTTGGCAATTTTGCAGGTTATGTCGGTGACTTTGATTTTTCTGTCGATGTTCTTTTATCTCAAGCGCTGACGGTGTTACGATCGGTGAGAGTATGCCTTTTCAACCGACTTCAAAAAAGGAGGAGGTTCTCAATTTGACCCGTATGTTTTTTTTTTTTTTTTTTTTTAAAAAAAAATAAAACCGACTCCAAAAAACCTACACTAAAACGTAGAAAAATAATTACTAATTACCTACTTATTTATTAGGACGAATTATTAATATTTATGTAGGTATACCATGATTGATACTTCTGGAGTCGGTGCCAAGATTATGAAACATGTAAAGTTTGCCTGCACCGACTCCAAAAGTATCAATCATGGTATACCTACATAAATATTAATAATTCGTCCTAATAAATAAGTAGGTAATTAGTAATTATTTTTCTACGTTTTAGTGTAGGTTTTTTGGAGTCGGTTTTATTTTTTTTTATAAAATTTTGCTTGATCCCATCGGCATTATCAAGATAACAAACTTCCTTAGAAACTTTCATCCCTCATTTGAAGCTCCAAGGACAAATAAATTTTAACCTAGTTCCTTAATAATGTATGGCTTTAGCGCGTTATAAATTACTAAGATAATTCCATGTCTGTAAAGTTTTAAGCATGCCTTGAGTTAGTTTAAGGTCTTGTATTTAGAGATTTGGATACTCATTGAATAAGGGGTTTGGGATCCTATTCGCAGGTGGGATATGCATGGTATAAAATTAGATTGTTTTTGTTTCCTATTTGATATTGCGGGTTTGTATCAATCTTTATGTAAAAAAATAAGTAAACTTCCTCTGAGGACAATGAAAGCTGGTCCGATTGAAAGATAACAAACGCCTTCTATTAACAAGTATACAGGGTGGAAACGATAAGTGATCTCACTCGATTATTTCTAAACTATACAAGATATCGAAAAACTGATTACTGATCCTGAAAGTGCTTAACGAGTTCTTTCAAACGATATCAGTAATAGGTTACAGAATTAACTGGATCTATCCAAAAATTCAATGTTTTCAGCCTCTTCAAGCTCGTGAAGCACTTTCAGGATCAGTAACCAGTTTTTGGATATTATCTTGTATAGTTTAGAAATAATCGAGTGAGATCACTTATCGTTTCCACCCTGTAGTCATAATTTTATAAACGTATTTCTAACCTACTATTAGAAATGTAAGTTATGAATAGATTACATAGTGAAAATCTGTACCCCCAGTGAAAAGGGAGTTAAGTCGAAAATGGTGATTTTTGGGAAATCGCATTTGAAGTTAAAAAAAATCCTGCTTTGTCGCTATTAGAGATAACTTGGTGAAATATTTTTAGGTGAAAGGTAATGTTAGATATAATTAGGCAGTGTGCCAGTTTGGGAAATATAGCATGTGGTTTTTTCGTAATTAAATAAAAACCTAGTTATATCACCATGCACGACAACTTTACATTCGTGTAAAGTGATGTAATGAGATATAAATCATTTTACACCACACTGAATTAACCACACGCTAACAAGTGTAAAGTGATACATTTTCCACCATTTCTGTTGATAATTTTTTATTTCTTCAATTTTAGAAAAAGTTGTAAAACAAACATAAGTAATTACACTATGAGGAATCATTATTTCAGGTTATTTAGGGTAAATACTTGCGAGCTAAGCAGATAAAGTCCAGCAACACATGCCATTTACATAATTATTTACTTTATACATAGTATCCATTCATAAGGACTTTCGTAGATAGTTTCTCAGGGCAATCGAATATTGCACTTAGCCTCTTGATTAGACCATTGTGTGCTATTTGTAGTTTATCTTCCTATTCCAATCGCTCCAGATCCCCCCAAGTAGCAGCAGCCTATCTAGGTCGCTACAGGTCTTCTGCAGCGACCCTGGTGATTGGAGAATTTGAGCCTGTTGATCTGCTACGCTTGTGCACTACTTGTGCACGTGCTGCGGTTTTTCTTCTGCCTCCATGCATATTCTACACAGTAGGCTGCCTGTAACAGCTATATTGTGTAGGTGTTTGTTTAACATACCTGTTATTACACTTAGGACCTTGTGGATATTGTCCCTGTTTAGTCTTATGAGGCTGCGGGAGAACTTTTTCGATATATCCACAACTGCATCTTTTGTTTGCCTGCATCTTTTACAATCTTTCCATTCTGTGTGGTGTTATTTTTCTATTTTGGAGCGCAGCCAGGTCTTGATCTGTGCTTATGGTATCGGCATTATAGGTAATTGTTCCGGACCAAATACCGTCGTGTACGNAGATAGATAGATAGATAGATAGATAGATAGATAGATAGATAGATAGATAGATAGATAGATAGATAGATAGATAGATAGATAGATAGATAGATAGATAGATAGATAGATAGATAGATAGATAGATAGATAGATAGATAGATAGATAGATAGATAGATAGATAGATAGATAGATAGATAGATAGATAGATAGATAGATAGATAGATAGATAGATAGATAGATAGATAGATAGATAGATAGATAGATAGATAGATAGATAGATAGATAGATAGATAGATAGATAGATAGATAGATAGATAGATAGATAGATAGATAGATAGATAGATAGATAGATAGATAGATAGATAGATAGATAGATAGATAGATAGATAGATAGATAGATAGATAGATAGATAGATAGATAAAATTTGAAGTAATTTCATCGATAAAATTGTCCATAGATTACGCCCTTAAAGTTTGATCACTACAAGCCCGGACACACTGTATAGATAGATAGATAGATAGATAGATAGATAGATAGATAGATAGATAGATAGATAGATAGATAGATAGATAGATAGATAGATAGATAGATAGATAGATAGATAGATAGATAGATAGATAGATAGATAGATAGATAGATAGATAGATAGATAGATAGATAGATAGATAGATAGATAGATAG